CAAAGTTTCTGGCGAGTCACTGTAGATTTGTGTGACCTAGCGTTGTCCAGGTCGAACACGACACCTCTCCTGTTGGCCAATTCTGGCCGTTTCAGGACAATTGTTATCTTCAAACGGTCCAGTTGTTAACAATAGAGATCAGAATTTAATGTTTGGCCATATGGAAGCAACTCATAATAAATAATCCCCTTCAATTACACCAAATGCATAGCAGAACATTCCTGGCCGTTAGTCCAGGTTTGGCGGACGTTTGAGATGCTTCACCGCTTTTTGACTACGATGGTTTTCGCACAGGGTTATCGTATGTGATCCATTTCTCATCTCCAGTCACCATCCGTTTAAGAAATGGGTCTATACATTCGATTTTTTTCTGTTAATTTGTGTGGTTCCAAAACATCGAGCTTCTTTTTGAATCCAGCTTTGTGTAAATGGTTTAAAACAGTTTTATGATGGATTTTTAGCTCCTAGGCTATGATATGACTGGTAACATGCCGGTCAACCTCGATCATTTCTCCGATTTTATTTTTAACATCAAAAATTCCTAAGCAGAATCTACGAAACCAAAATTGCACATAATTGGCTGTTACAATATTAGCCGCTTGGCTTGCATTTTCGCCTTTGTCAAAGAAAAACTGTAAAATGTACTGAATTTTCTCTTTGTTCATTTCCATTTTTAACATCTTGTAACTCACAACTGAATGCACCAAACAAACAAAAAAACAGCAAAATAATTTTTTTTACTGCGAAATGTGACCCCTCTTCCCACGAGAATAAATCTGAAATTGTTTGATCGATACTTTACGAGAAATCTATCAGTACTGTCATTTGCCGAAAAAAATGGATTTCTTTTACCCCAACCTAATATTATAATCTCTTGGAGCACTTTCTTCTATTTAGCCGATTTAGGATCGAAACATAAACTCCAGTTTCATATGTTAATTTATTTATTTCTTTTCATATAATTAAAACTATTGATATCTTTAATACAAAAACGTTGCTCCTGAAAGTTTAAAAATTAATACGATTACGATACAATATTAATTTGAAATCGTGTCTGGAAACGCTGCATTAATAAAATGCCACATAAAATAGGTATCAATCATTTATTTCGTTTGGAAAACCCTTAATTTATTTGAAAAATAAATACTGAGTGAGTCAAGAATCACTAAAAATTCTGATTGACTTCTGCAATAGTACTGACGTCTCAATATTGGTTCTATAAACAAAAATAATAAAATAATTTAGAATAGAAATTTGGTTAAATTCTTGGAATTTACGAATATAACACAAGGTTAGAATTGTAATGTTATTTTAATATGCATCTAAATGAAATCTGAAAAATAGTAATTTTTGCATTATAAGCAGTGAAACTTTTCATTTTACAAATAAATGTAAAAGATTAAGTAATATAATGGAAACTCCCAAGATATATTTTCAATTGATGTCATACCAATAATATTTGTCTTTAGTCAGTAATTTCCAAATTACTACTTCATTTAATCCGCTTAAAAAAACTATTCCTAAAATGTGTGAAAGATCTCACTGGTCATCTGCTGAAAAAGGTTTTACTGCCTCTAAATTACTTTTCTTTACAATTGTAAAATAAGTGTAATAAATAGATTGACTAGTAGAATGATAAATAGCTAAAGGTTAGGAGTGTTAAATGATCTATGCAACAACAATTAAATCCCTTCCAAGAATAACAGGTAAAAAAAACTGAACAACTGTCGGTCAACTTTGACCCTTAGTTAATAATCTCTGTAAGTACATAGTTGTGTGAAAACATGAAAACCAAATGTAAATTGTCGATTTAGTACTTTAGTGTAATTGCTAGTGAAATTATTGTAGATTTTATGATATAGGTACCTTGTCATAGGTATAAGAAATGCCGAGTTTCCCTTTATAGTATCCATAGGGAATGCACAATGTAAAAATGAATATTATTATTAAAGTAAAATCATTTAAAATACAAGTTTTGGAATATCATGGTAATTTACCATAGATCTATGGAAATGAATTTCCATTAAGCTATCCCTAAAATGGGACTCCTTGTTTGACTAACAAATTATTGAATACCTCCGCATAATACTATCGACCAATATCGGCTTGAAAATCTAGTGTCACAATCAAAAATACTGGGGCAAATATGGCAAACAAAATGGACACTACACACCTTTGTGGGGGAGGTACCAGAAGGTGTGGGCCCATATAAAGTCATAGATATAATATAAGTTTGTGCAAAGTTTTGTTCAAATCGGATAGTCCGTTCACGTGATATTATACATTTTCAGCAAAATTTGGAACATTTTGTGGGGGAGGTAGCAGAAGGAGTGGACCAGTGGGTCCTATCTTCAATCTTTATCTATTTGTATATTTCATATATATATATATATATATATATAAAATTTGTTTCAAAATGGGCCTTCTATTCGCCTAATATGGGAGGAGGGGACCAATGGGTCCCATCTTCAGACTTGAAATGAATTTCCATTAAGCTATCCCTAAAATGGGGTTTAATACTTCGTTTGTATTTTCAGTAGGACATCCAGAAATCCTAGAGATGGAAATGTCAGTATACCGAATTCCAAGAATCAACGACACTCCCTCGTTGATTCTTGTTTGACTTACAAATTATTATATACCTCCGTATAATACTATCGACCAATATGGGCTTGGAAAACTAGTGTCACAATCAAAAATACTGGGGCAAATATGGTAAACAAAATGGACACTACACTACCTTTGTGGGGGAGGTACCAGAAGGTGTGGGCCCATAAGTCCCATCATTCAACATTATAAAGTCATAGATATAATATACGTTTATGCAAAGTTTTGTTCAAATCGGATAGTCCGTTCACGTGTTATTATACATTTTCAGCAAAATTTGGAACATTTTGTGGGGGAGGTAGCAGAAGGAGTGGACCAGTGGGTCCTATCTTCAAACTTTATCTAGGCATGGTAAATATAATATGTTGTGCAAAATTTGTTTCAAAATCGGGCCTTCTATTCGCCTAATATTGGATTTATAAATATTGAAAATGTTTGACCAATTGTGTGGGAGGAGGGGACCAATGGGTCCCATCTTCAGACTTGATCTAGACTTGGTAAAGATAATAGGTTGTGCAAAGTATGGTTCAAATATAACATTCCATTTGCCTGATATTGGATTCACAAATATTAAAAATGTTGACCCCTTATGGGGCAGGTAACAGAAAGAGTAGACCGATGGGTCCCATCTTCGGATTTCATCTGGGCTTGGTAAAGATAATAGATTGTACAAACTTGTGTTCAAATCGGACATTCCATTAGCCTGATATTTTATTTATAAATATTGAAAATGTTGACATTTTGTGGGGAAAGTCCCCATCTTCCTACTTGATCTACGCTTGGTAAAGGTGCAAAGTTTCGTTAAAGTCGGATAAATTAATTTTTAGCATATTTTCGACCATTATAGACCACAAATGTGTCGGAAACAGCTTGAATCGAATTTTCCAAAACGGATGCCATACGACGGATAGATAAATTACGTTGGGTTCCAGGACATAGTAACGGAATGAGAATGGAATAAAATAGCCGATGACCTTGCTCGATGGGATTCGCAGTCGTTCAATCTGCTGATTTAGGGATCTGTACCACCTCCTTTTGGTTATTTCATTGGCAAAATCCCTATGAGCTACTGCGAGGTAGTTGGTAACAGATGGTGATCATAATAGGACTTCTATAGCAGCACATATGTCTCTGAACCAAACCGAATTTTGCAAATCCACTTCTTGACTGCAAAGGAGCTCTTCATGTTATACGACGGATAGTAAAATATGTTGGATTCCAGGACATAGAAACGGAATGAGAAGGAAAAGAGTTAGCCGATGAGCTTGAGGGGTATCGCAGACGTTCAATCTACCGATTGAGAGATCTGTGCAACCTCCTATTGGTTATTTCATTGGCAAAATCCGTATGAGCTACTGCGAGGTAGTCGGTAACAAATGGTCATCAACAGAACATGCATGCAGGATTTCAAAAACTATCTACTTCGATGCTGTCTGTCATAGTAAGAGGGAGATAAAAATCATTGTGGGGATCATAACAGGTCACGGCAGGATTAGATCTCTCATATCTAAATGGGACATTAACGAGGTTTAAACAATTGAACATATACTCCACCACTAACTAGCAAACGACACAGATAGTTTGGCAAACATGAAATTGATAATCTAACCGTCTTCTTCGAAAGAGACTCCAAGAAGATCCTTAGCTTTGTTAAAATTCTGACATGGCTAAAATATCGAATGGATAGTCTATCAAGAAAATGTCAGAGTGCATTGAGCAAAACTCCCGTTTACACAACAGAGGGGTTTACGATTCGAAACGACCCGAGTCATTGACAACTCAGCGACAAACAGCTGTACCAAACGAAACAGTAAGGCTTTTGAACATCGATCAAAAGCCAATTGTGTAAAAGCAATAGGGCTGCTACGTTTTGAAATTTGTACCACATATAGCATAGGGCTTTTTAAAGAGATCCATACCTTCCCCATAAATTGTCGCCAAAATTATGTTTTTTTTAAATATTTAACGGGCTCTCCACTGGACATATCACATTACCGAATTTTAGAAGCCCACATCTTGAAAAGTAGATACTACTTCGTAATCAGTACCTACTAAAAGGCTTAATGGGCCGCAATTTTGGATGCCTATATCTCACAACTACTCGAAAACAAAATAAGTTGTGCTTAATTCGAAAATACAAAGGGGGAAAGTGGAAGAACCCGTCTATTAGAATATATCCTGCTTGGAAATAATAAAATATATACAAAAATAGCTTTTGTAGTAAATATCATTCTTTCATGAGAATATCAGATGAAGATCTGATTTGAACATAGCTTGGGTTATCTTTAGTTGAGATAACCCCATCCTCAAATATAACATTTTTATAACTTTCTTTATAAGAGAATGGATTCCATTCTAGATTTGCTATTTGATAATGCTTTTAAAAAACTCACCGACTCTTCCTCTTTTTCCATGCCACTTGGCATTTGTGGTACCGCTCGATTTATAGCTGAATATTCTGGCAAATCCGGTAACTCCTCAGCCAAATAGATGGGCATTTGTTTCGATGGATCAAGGGCACGAGCCCTAAATGATAATTTCGACATGGTGATGATGTTTTTTCTGTTTGATTGATGAGAAGACAGACAGACGACTTATGTGGACAAACTTCTTCCTTGTTTAGACCTTTGTTTTGTTTTGCTTGTTACAAACTAAATTTGGCTTTGTGTTCTGTTGTTTTTTTTTAGTTTTGAATTTTTATATAATAATAAAAAAAATAAAAACAAAATTTGAATTTTATTCTATTTCCTTGTTTTGAAGTTTTAGGTAGTTGTTGCTGTTTACTGCTCTCAGTGCTGCTGCTGGTGTGTCTTTAGGAAGGTGCTGCTGCTGATGATGATGATGAGTATGGAGTAAATGTAGGCAAGAAAAGGAGTTGCTTGAAAATGAAAATATTTATAACAATCCAAATTTTGTTAATAAAAAATAAACTGCCTTTTCTTCTCTTTTTTCTTTTTTATATATCCTTTGTTAATCTTAGATGCGTAAAATGTGGCTGGGGACAACAATTGAAATGATAAGAATGTTGTTGTGGAGGTGGATTCTGGAGACTGGAGACAGATAATGTGGAATTTCTTTCTGCCCTGCAAACTGAGGATTGGTTATAACTTAATGCCACCAATGCACTTGCTGCTGCTGCTTTCGGTGCCTGATGATAATCTATATAGGATGAGGATAATTTAGATTTTAAAGCAGCACTGCTGCTTGGCAGAACTATTGGTTGTGGTTGCAAATTACTCCTCCAAAAGGGACTTCTTGCCAGTGGGGATGTTGTGATTGTTGTTGGTCTTGTGGGAGGGAGCGGCGGCGACCAGCAGTTGTTGTAATCCAATAACAATGATACTGTCGCGGCTGCTGCAGCTTCTCCTCCTGCTGTTACTTCTTCGCTTACTTGTCGTTGAAGTAAAACCTTGCTTAAAAGGTAATATATGAAAACTACAATACAAAACTCTTTTTTCTGTTGTTGTTGTAGTTTTTGTATAGTATTCCTACTACTACTACTGCTAGTGGTGGTTAATGAGGATTTTGGAATTTCCAATTCCTTGCAAACTATGTAATAATAATAATAATATGTTTGCAATGTAATTGTATTATCCTGCTGCTGCTGCTTCGGCTGTTCTTCTGTGTAGCTAGGTAATTGTGGAAAAATCTTCTTTGAATTGTTTTCCTCTGCTCTTCTTGTGTTTCTTGCTGTTGTTGTTGGTGTCGATGAGTTTGCTTTAAACGTCTTCGACGTCTTTGTTGACGTCGTCGTTGTTGTTGTTACCGACCTTTTATTATTATTGTTCGTCGTTGCGGCTGTTGTTGTTGTTGTTATGCTTGTGTACGATGATGATGACGAAGAAGAGTGTATCACTCCAAATGCCGGTTCAATGTCTCTTTCCACAACACTTGGTGATGTTTGTGTTGCTATATTTGTTTCAAGATAGCTTTTGTTTTGGGGAATTTCTGCTCTTGTTGTTGTTGCTGTTGGCAATGGTTTTTCCCGTTTGGTAGAGATCAGCAATGGTACCACAATAAAGAACAACAATAATTGTTGTTGTTCTATTTGCTGCTGTTGGTCGTGTTGTTTTTGGTTGCAGTTGTTTTTGTTTTTATTACTTTGTTTATTTAATACGTTCTTGCTGCTGTTGTTGTTGTAATTCGTCTTTAACAATATTTGCTGCTGCTGGCGCTGATGCTGTTGCTGTTGATGCTGTTGATTTATATGACAACTACTACGATTTTTTTGCAATGATAGCAACAATAACAAATCGTGCTGGCTATATGACGACGACATTTTTCAAATTGAAATCGAAAAACTTAAATAAATTTGCATAATTACAACAATGTTGAATGGAATCGTAGCGGTGAACGTTAACATTTGTATGCATTTCATATTTCATTTAAATAATAAATGACAACGACGATGACAGCGCAGCAACAGCTCTCCAGCGACGGCGGCTACGTTGACGTTGGCGACGACGGCAAAGACAGCAACGTTAGCGTCGACAACAGAAACATTAAACGGCATTTTTTATGCAAAACATGATACCGCCGTTGTCATGTAATGTTGTTGTTATTGTTGATGTCGTGCTTGTTCTTGTTCCTCTGCTTGTTGTTCTTTGTTTCCTTTTAGTTCTCCTCTTTCGTGTCTGCTGTTGCAATTGATACTACAATAATTCTTTTGTTTTCACAACGCGATACTTATTTTTCGTTTTTTGTATTTATTTTTTTCTTCTTCTATTCTCTTTTGTAAAATGGGCTTTAATTATTTTTGTTGCTTCTTATTCTTTTTTTTTAATCTTTAGGCCCTCTAGGCAAATTCAATAATTCTTTTCTTTTTGTGTTTTTTGTTTTCCTCTTTGTTTATTCTATTCTATGTGTAGTTTTATGATGACAGCCACGCTAGGTTTGTTATCTGTCAAAATGGAAAGAAAAAAAATGCACATTTATTAACTGCTGCAAATGTGGTGGTGTTTTTCAATGCACTTCATAAGGGAGAGTAAGCGGGAGAGAGAGCGGGCATTCAAATGGCCTAACCATTGACAATGACTTATGTGAGCAATGGAAATGGCGCGCACAAAATCACAATTCACAAAAATACATAATTTTTCTATTTAATTCACATATCTATTTTATTTTCAACATATTCCATTCCATTTTTATTAATTTTATGTAAATATATATTATTTATAACGGACGGACACACGTTGTACTTTATGCTTCTTTACATTGGCCCGCGCTCTGCTTAAGTAAACAAAAATTTTTTTTCGGTGGCAGCGACGGCGACAATGCCACTCAGCCAAGCGGCGAATTACACTTCATACACAAACATTTATTTTGCGGCGAATTGACACGACTTTTTTCTCGGCTCGTTTTTTTTCTTCTTTTTTTTTGCATGGAAAACACACAATGCAAAATCTCGTTTTTTCAAGCCACCATTACCGCTTAGATTTTCATTATTTCCAACAAAATGCGATTGTATTACAATCGAAAAATCGTTTTGAACTTTTTGCACAATTATTTACCGCATTTGATATCCAAAAAATAATTAATAAAACGAAAAATAATTCGTGAGAAAAAATGTTTGGAGATAGCGTGGTTTTATTAAAGCTGAAAACGAACTGAAAACGAAAAAAGAATGAAGAGAGAAACAAATGCCACAAACTAGACAGAGACAACGATATAGCAAACCAACGGATGTGGTTAACCGGTTACCCGTATAACCATTTTGCAGGCAATGCTTTTGTCTCGCATCGCACGACTCCGAACGAACGTCCAACTCCGAAAACACATACACATACATTTGCGCGCGCATTTTTCATTTCATACCATCTTCGTCCCAAAACTATTGCTCTCTTTCGCTCACTCTCACAACCCCTTAACCGTTTGCCCAACACAAAAGCGAGTCCGAGCTACACTACACCGTGCACACACAACAAACGAACTATGGTCTTTTTCGTTTCGTTTACCACACACCACCACCACACGAACGACCAACAGACAAAAAAAACGACGAACGATAGAAAAAATTTTCAACGAAAAAATCGATTCTTCTCAAATGCCATGATTTTCATACTTTTTTCACATGAATTTTTTACATTTAAAACACTTGTTATTCCATAATTTCATATGAAATTCAATGATTCGGCCACATCGTGCCTCATTTTCCAGAGATTTCTTGTTAATTTCTATAAATTTTGCGTAGAAATTCTTTATTTAATTGTGCAACGACACGCGAGTTTTTAGGGACACGTTTTGTAATGGCGGCGGAGTACGAAGAAACACGAACATACCCAGCGAATCGGTGATGACAAACAAGAATTTGTTTTTCGGAGTCAACAAAACTCACAAAATAATTAGAAATTACAAACACACGCCATACCAGGGAAAACATTTCATGATTTGTCATGTCAGTCACATCAAATTGTAGGAAAAATTCTAAGGAATAAGCTAAATCCATTGATCGCTTGGTTAAAAATTGTTTTCGTATAGAAAATTCATAAAAATCATCAGCAAAATTTGTTTTAATGTAATTTCATAATATTCGACATCGAATGGTATATAAACACAGGGTTGTATTTCGTTTGACAAAAGCGGTATAACACTGAAAGACTACAAAGTCAGGTTGGGATAAGTAACGCGTTAGACGCCAATAAATTTATATTTGATCGATTGAAAACATGCAAACTCATGGGGATAATAAAAAAATAAATAAATAGATGTTGATGAAAGAAGTAGAACCGTGGTCCAATAAACAGGTCGTGTAATAAACGAAATGATTTCCCGAACTGTCCAAAATCGTGTGAAAATATAAATGTCAATAGATTAATAAAATCAGCTCTTGAAAATGTTGGAAAAAAGGCAACGAAACAATTTCACGAGAGAGATGGAATAAAAATCGTTTTATTTTCATAAAAAATTATCTGACCAGAAAAGCCCAACAAGAAACATAAAGATTCAATAAATGTGACAGTTTGAGGGATTTTCTAAAAAAATTACCGATAATATTCGCTTTATTATTATTAAGACACACGTTTATATCTTATGTTTTATTTTCAAAGTAATGTTACATTTACATTTAATTAGCTTTGTATATATGCAAGAGAAAGGTGGGTTTAGACTATGCCAAACAAATCGATCCAATCTCAAAATCGTGGTGCAAAATCCTTACTGTTTAGACTATTAAATTCATTTGATTTGAAACGTAAATTCCGTAGTGTTCACGTCATGTCAATCATGCTCACAAAGCCAGTGGATTATATTTGATTGGAATTTGAGTTGGCATTTGAACGCGAAAAATGAATGAAAGGTTATGATTTCTTCCCAAAATTCAGTAGGGATTACAATCAAATGTTTGTTTCATCCATAAAAATGAAATTACTTCCAGAACAGCATCTTAAAAACATAGTTTTCATTTCAAGTAAATTTGAATATATAGCATTTCCACATTAAATGAAACCTTTTACAAATTAAATGAACCCTTTTCCAAATTAAATGAAATCTTTTCCAAATTAAATGAAACCTTTTCCACTTGAAATGAAACCTTTTACAAATAGAATGAAACCTTTTCCAATTGAAATGAAACCTTTTACAAATAGAATGAAACTTTTTCCAAATTAAATGAAACCTTTATTCTTATCTAAGGAAATATAATATTTGCACTAATTTTAAACCAATATTTGAAAATTAAATCAAAGAATATTAACAAATATAGTTGTATGGTTATGTAATTAACATAAATATTCTTTAATTCGGTGTGATTTCATTTAATATCTTTACTACATAAAACTAAATAAATAGTAATACAAACTGGGGTATTTCTTGACATTTTAATAAATAAATATTTAAGAACAGGAATTGAATACCCGGTCCTAAATGCGAAATACATATTTGACTTAATAAATTGTTGATGATAAGGTAACTGCTTATCTTAATGAAGGAATATTTATATCATTTTCTCTCAACAGTTTAGTTTTTATGGCTTTGAGGGTAATTCCAGGTTGACTTTCTATATAGAACTCGATCAGACTTAAAACTTGTGGTGTCAACAACTTAGTTCTATTTCCTCCACGCTTATTTTCCTTCAATGTTCCAAAAAATTAACATTCATTGAAGAGTGTGGATTTAATCTTCACATACGAAGAACCCAAGCCCGTTCAAGACAAGGGACAAGAGCACACATTGCGTTGCTTACGTTCAGAGGTCGTAATGTCACTATAATTGCAGCAATAAACAACGCGGGAGTTGTACATCACACAATCGTTTCTAATTCCAGTGTCAATGCAGACAGATTTAAATTATTTATAGAATTTTTTTTTGAGAAAATCAATCCAGAGTTGGAAAATAACGCTCATATACACAAGCGACATGACATAAAAAATTTGATCGAATCCAAAAGATGCAACCTTAAATTCTTACCGCCTTATTCTACAATGCTAAATCCAATCGAAAATGTATTTTCAAAAATAAAATTATGTCCAAGAGCTGAGCTGTGTGACGTTTCAATGGAACATAACATTGTTGATGTAATCGAGCGAAGTATTCAAAAGCTTACTTGGCAAGATTGTTCTAACTACGTTATGGACATGGTTTTGAAAATCCCACAAGCTGCAAGTCGGGAACCCCTTCATTAAGATAAGCAGTTACCTTATCATCAACAATTTATTAAGTCAAATATGTATTTCGCATTAAGGACCGGGTACTCAATTCCTGTTCTTAAATATTTATTTATTAAAATGTCAAGAAATACACCAGTTTGTATTACTATTTATTTAGTTTTATGTAGTAAAGATATTAAATGAAATCACACCGAATTAAAGAATATTTATGTTAATTACATAGCCATACAACTATATATGTTAATATTCTTTGATTTAATTTTCAAATATTGGTTTAAAATTAGTGCAAATATTATATTTCCTTAGATAAGAATAAAGGTTTCATTTAATTTGGAAAAGGTTTCATTCTATTTGTAAAAGGTTTCATTTCAATTGGAAAAGGTTTCATTCTATTTGTAAAAGGTTTCATTTCAAGTGGAAAAGGTTTCATTTAATTTGGAAAAGGTTTCATTTAATTTGGAAAAGGTTTCATTTAATTTGGAAAAGGTTTCATTTAATTTGGAAAAGGGTTCATTTAATTTGTAAAAGGTTTCATTTAATGTGGAAATGCTATATTTCAATTTATTTCGAATTTATTTGACATAGTATTCAAAACAATACACACACATACACAAAATATGAATTTTGATTTGATGGAACAAGCCACCTTGAGAAAAAATTGTAATCAGTTGATAGCTGTGCCCTACCTTTATGATATCGACAAAAATAGTAAAAACTAGTAGATTCTTGCAGTGCGGGAACAGACCAATAATATTGTCGGTAGGCGGGCCAAAAATTAAAAAAAAAAATGTTGTGTAAAAAGTCAAGCGATACCATACCAACCGCAAAACAAAATTGAAAATTTATTAAATGTATCCAAATATTTAATGTTCACATTCGAAATTTCATATTTTCTGAATGTTTTGTTTTTATTTTCAACAAAAGAAAAAACAAAAAATACGTTCTGTCAAAGTTGAAATTGTTCAACTTGAAACTTTGTACGCTCGACGTATTTCATATAAATACATGTTTTCTACTTTGTGGTGAAAAACGTCGAACGAGCTAGTTGAATTTTAGGTAAGGCTGTTATAACAACATTTTTGACATTTATTTGCACCAAAAGCTGGACCGATGCGGCTACCTTATTAAATATATCTTGGCCCTAAATCCTAAATTCGAATTCGCTTCCAAATCATAACATTTGGCATTGGAACATTTTTCGATCTATAGATCACTATATTAAACTATCGAATGCCTCTAATGCCATGTACAGACGGGCGTCGTTCGCTCTCTCATTCGTTGTTCGACCCTTAATTATGAAGTAATTACTTAGTTCCCCATACAAAATTGTCTGAGCGAACACCGACTTTTGTACGTTGTTCAATTTGAATCACTCTCCGAATAACCAAGAAATGTGTTCCATCCCTAACAATTGAGAGAATTTATCGAAAATAAATTAATTTTGACAGCATGAAAATATTTGTAAAATTTTCAAACTTTTTCAGTAAAATTAAAAATGATGAATGAAAAGTAAAAAATTTTCGAGTTTTTATATATGCAGAAGGAAGTAAATTTTGTAATCTACATAATGCAATATGTATTTCTTTCCCTTTGGTTCTAATTAGCGTACAAAACGAGAAACCAATGTGGGGAAACCCAAACAAAAAATTCTCCAATTTTTTATGTGACATTTGAATTGAGAAAAAATGAAAATATACTCAAAACAACAATACTTTCAGAAAAAATAGAAAACATGAATTAAAAGTAAATAGATATGGGTTCATACTATAGTCAGGAGAAAGAGAATTATTTTTTCTATTTAGATCCATATATGATTCACGCAAATATGTTACAATTTTGGTGTAAAACTAGAAACAAAAAGTTTGAAATAAAAAACTCTGATGACATGAATTAAGAATAGTGTTGTATGAACGGGTTAATTCATATACGTAATTCTGAGAGCGAACTACGTTGTTCGAATGCCCGTCAGAACATGGCATAAATTAATTCATTAGTTCATTTCGCGGAAACATTCAATTAGATCATTCAAGAACGATACAACGGTAAACAATTTATCAAAACAAAGAAACAAGTATTCTTGAAAACGTCGTTATTATATTATTTTTATTATTAAATACATATTTACATTTTCTTAATCGATTTTATATAATTAAAAGAATATTGAAAAGTTTCAAACAAAAGCTGGAACTAGTTCACTTACTATAAACAGTACATTTCTTGAAACCTATCAGCTGATTGACGTTCATATTCATTCTAAAGATGATGGGTGACACGGCGTTATGCTTTACACTCATTCGTAAACAGCTTTTATCAGTCATTCTGTGCTGTCTCCCTCTATTCGCAGTGTGCGAAACACGGTTTAGGACGCTTTCAATTCAAAACAATATATTAGGATATTGAATAAAATAGAAAGAATTGTTTGCTTAAAGATTTCTGTGTGCGAGCTCAATCTCAGGGTGGAAAACCAAAATGTATCCTCTAAGTTCCCAAAAGAAATATTGGACTTTTTCAAGTCCAGAACAGTTGAATGAATTGCGACTGAAACGGAATCAAAAATTCATTGAAACTCATGGAGCACATATGGATGTAAGTTGTGTTGTACGGATCAATGATAACGTACCAATATAAAAATCTATTACTTTCCTTTCCATATAGGATCAACAACGTATGGAATTCTTTTTGGATGCCAATGAGGAACATTTGTTGCTGAAACAATATGAAATCTATTTAAATGATTTTTGTCGTCGCTTCGAACCAATGATGCCGAAATGTGTCGTCGGAACAGCTATACATTATTTCAAACGTTTCTTTTTGCACAACTCCCCAATGGATTACCATCCCAAGGAAATTTTGTAGGCATCAATTCAAATAAGTGATTTAAAAAAATGAATAATTCTGATGACATTTTCTTCCCCTTAGAGCAACTTGTGTTTACTTGGCTTGCAAAGTGGAGGAATTTAATGTTTCCATTGGTCAATTTGTCAGCAACATTAAAGGTGATCGTAACAAGGCCATGGATATTATTTTGTCCAATGAATTGTTGTTGATGCAACATCTAAATTACTACTTAACCATACACAATCCATATAGACCGGTGGAGGGATTTTTAATCGATATAAAGGTAAGTGACCAATGGCAAATTGTGTGTTTTAGTTTTTAAAAGAATTGCGTTTTGTTGCTTAGACTCGCAGTTCAATGGTAAATCCCGAACGTTTACGTCCGCACATTGACAGCTTTATTGAGAAGACATTTTTCACAGATGCCTGCCTTTTGTATGCCCCATCACAAATAGCTTTGGCTGCTGTTTTACATGCTGCCGGTCGAGAGCAGGAAAATCTTGACAGCTATGTCACGGATAATCTTTTAAATGGTGCACGGGAAAAATTACCAGCCCTTATTGAAGCCATTCGAAGTGAGTGGTTTTGATCTCTTTGTTGGTGTATTTTAATTTGAATTTATTTTGTTTAATTTGTTTATAGAAATTCGAATTATGGTTAAACAGTATGAAGTACCACTCAGGGATAGAGTTAAATTGATTGAAAAGAAATTGGAAAAATGCCGAAATCAAGAAAATAATCCAGACAGTGAAATGTAAGTATTGGACAAAGGAATAAGAAATTTTGTACAAAAGGTGGAGGCCGAGAAAATGACAGATTTTCACAATTCGAAGAAAAATGATAAAAATTATGATGTTTCCAACTTTTCGAACATCTCTAGAAATCATACATAATTTCCAAAAATTTTTTTTTGAACGTTCTTAATACATTTATTTAAATTTTATTTTTAATTTGAAATGTTTTATTCCCTTTCAGTTACAAAGAACGTATGCGCAAAATGTATTGCGATGATGATTTGGACGTTGCCGAGGATACCTCATATTATATAGCCGATTCCAGTGCGGATATGTCCGCTTTAAACATGAGTCAATAAGATATATTTGTACTTGTTTTTTTTGTATTCTTAATAATTAATGAATAAATGTTATTTTTAAATTAACGGATTTTTGGATGTATATATTCTTATATGTTTTAAATTATGGTGGTAAATCTACGCCTCGTTGGGACTTGAGAAAAAATTATTTTAAAAATCTACGCCTTGTAGGGACTTGGGAAAAAAATATTTAAACAAAGTACGCCTTGAGAAAAAATTCTTTAAAAAATCTACGCCTTGTTGGGACTTGAAAAAAAAATTCTTTAAAAAATGTATGCCTTGTTGGGACCTGAGAAAAAACTATTTAAAAAAAATCTACGCCTTGTTGGGACTTGAAAAAAAAATTCTTTAAAAAATCTACGCCTTGTTGGGATCTGAAAAAAAAAATTCTTTAAAAAATCTACGCCTTGTTGGGAATTGGGAAAATATATTTAAAAAATTTACGCCTTGTTAGGACCTGAGAAAAAAATGTTTAAAAAACTTACGCCTTGTTGTGACTTGAGAAAAAAAATTATTTAAAAAATCTACGCCTTGTTGGGACTTGGGAAAAAATTATTTAAACAATGTACGCCTTGTTCGGACTTGAGAAAAAATATTAAAAAAATCTACGCCTTGTTGGGACTTGAAAAACAAAAATTCTTTAAAAAATCTACGCCTTGTTGAGAATTGGGAAAATATATTTAAAAAATTTACGCCTTGTTAGGACCTGAGAAAAAAATATTTAAAAAACTTACGCCTTGTTGGGACTTGAGAAAAAATGGGATTCTTTATTGACGAGCTGAAAGGGAGTCTTTATAGACGAGCTGAAAGGGAGTATTTATAGACGAGCTGAAGGGAGTCTTTATAGACGAGCTGAAAGGGAGTCTTTATAGACGAGCTGAAAGGGAGTCTTTATAGACGAGCTGAAAGGGAGTCTTTTTAGACGAGCTGAAAGGGAGTCTTTATAGACGAGCTGAAAGGGAGTCTTTATAGACGAGCTGAAAGGGAGTCTTTATAGACGAGCTGAAAGGGAGTCTTTATAGACGAGCTGAAAGGGAGTCTTTATAGACGAGCTGAAAGGGAGTCTTTATAGACGAGCTGAATGGGAGTCTTTATAGACGAGCTGAAAGGGAGTCTTTATAGACGAGCTGAAAGGGAGTCTTTATAGACGAGCTGAAAGGGAGTCTTTATAGACGAGCTGAAAGGGAGTATTTATAGACGAGCTGAAAGGGAGTCTTTATAGACGAGCTGAAGGAAGTCTTTATAGACGAGCTGAAAGGGAGTCTTTATAGACGAGCTGAAAGGGAGTCTTTATAGACGAGCTGAAAGGGAGTCTTTATAGACGAGCTGAAGGGAGTATTTATAAACGAGCTGAAAGGGAGTCTTTATAGACGAGCTGAAAGGGAGTATTTATAGTCGAGCTGAAAGGGAGTCGTTATAGACGAGCTGAAAGGGAGTCATTATAGACGAGCTGAAAGGGAGTCTTTATAGACGAGCTGAAAGGGAGTCTTTATAGACGAGCTGAAAGGGAGTCTTTATAGACGAGCTGAAAGGGAGTCTTTATAGACGAGCTGAAAGGGAGTATTTATAGACGAGCTGAAGGGAGTCTTTATAGACGAGCTGAAAGGGAGTCTTTATAGACGAGCTGAAAGGGAGTCTTTATAGACGAGCTGAAAGGGAGTCTTTATAGACGAGCTGAAAGGGAGTCTTTATAGACGAGCTGAAAGGGAGTCTTTATAGACGAGCTGAAAGGGAGTCTTTATAGACGAGCTGAAAGGGAGTCTTTATAGACGAGCTGAAAGGGAGTCTTTATAGACGAGCTGAAAGGGAGTCTTTATAGACGAGCTGAAAGGGAGTCTTTATAGACGAGCTGAAAGGGAGTCTTTATAGACGAGCTGAAAGGGAGTCTTTATAGACGAGCTGAAAGGGAGTCTTTATAGACGAGCTGAAGACAGTCTTTATAGACGAGATGAAGTAAACCCTTATACTTATTCATTTTTATATGCGTACATTGCATAGGAAATACTCCTGATAGTACTTACCATTTGCACTATATCCGTATAACAATTAAAATAATTAACATCTCATTTTCATTCTGATTAATCTTTTACATATCATGTTTTATTGATTTATATTTATTTGTATGTAAGTATGTATGCACTATAACAATATTTTCTTTTTTCCTTTTTCTTATACTGATAAGATAGTAAATTATTTGTAATAAGTTTAGAATACTTTTCAATTAGCATGAAGGTCTGATCATTTTTTCTTCAATTATACTTTCATTCAATAGACTACAAAGCTTTTCTTTTCAATTTGTATTTCCAAAAAACTTAACAGATTTTTAACATTCTGTATTTTTGTTATCTCTGATTGTTTTCTTTTTTATTTTAGGATAATTGGGGAATATGAAATGTTTTACATTTGCATTTGGGGTTTTTTTATAATAATGATTTGAGATACATATATATTGATTCATTAATGTGTTTTTTCAGATTTTTGCTTATATTCAAAATACTAGATTTAAATATTTATAAATTGCATGACTTTGTCATTATTTTGTATGCAAATATAATAACAATTACACAACTTGGGTTATCTTTAGCATATAATCAAAAATGTTATAAATAAGTATTTTATTTAATTATCCAGTAGTTTTAAGATAATAAATGAAAAAATAAAGAAAATTAAAAGCAGATTATTAAAAATTATATCAAGTAAAAAATAATAAAAAAAAACTGCAAACTTGGACTACCCAATCCCTATAATGCCTAATCAGTGATAAATAATATTAACCCCTAAATATTTATAAACCTGGATATTTTCTTCAATAGCAGATGCTGAAGAATTTTTAAAAATTGAAGATTTTTTTTATTGAAATGGTTTGTTGCAAAATGTTTTACCCCTTGAGCATCAGAGGGCAATAATCACCTTTATAACTAAATAAAGTAAAAATATTAGCATTTTTATTAGAAAAATGAATAAATAACGGAAAATTAATGTTTAATGATACAAAATAAAATTCACAAGACAATCAATTTGGTGATGTGGATTTACGAAATCCTGAAAATAAATTAAGGTTATTTACACTGGCCTTGAGATCATTTCAAATGACGGTCAGCTGGACGCAACAGCCCTAAATCCTGATTTTTCTATTGTATGTAAATGTGCTTTTACTGAGTAAATTTTCCTTGCAAGAATTTGCAAATACTCAATAACACAACTGTCAAATCTGCTCTCTCAATTCATTCTCTTTTACTGGACTTTTGGGTAAACGAACAACATTTTGCAATAATTTGTACAAATTATTGAGTAAACGAACGAACCTAATTAGTACAAATGTTTAAAGGTTATTTTCCCACAATTCAATATTCAGCAATATGTTATGTTACTAAGACTTTACATATTCTTATAGTGAAAATGTACGCAGTAACAACCAGCAGATTTTAAACATGTCAATATTTTTATTTTGATATTTTGAAAAACAATTTAAAAAGATATTGTATACAACGGCATATACATTAGAACTTTTTACCAGGTTAACCTACTTTATGAGGATTTATTTGACATATATACAAAGGAATTGACAATTGAAACCCACTGGGTTAAAAATATATTGTATTGTATATATTTACTGAATTTTTTCCACAATTGTTTATAAAACAGTTGATTAAATATCAGCTGATGGTACTAATCTGCCTTGTAAGAATTTGCAAATACTCAGTAACGCAACTGTGAAATCTGCTCCCTTCATTCACTAGACTTTTGCGTAAATGAACAACATTTTGTAATAATTTGAAAAAAAAAAAAACAAATTATTGTGTAAATGAACATACCTAAAGGCGCGTTTAGACTATGCCGTCAAAATCGTCTCGAATTTTATATCGACGTACCAAATCCCAACTGTTTATACAAGTGTAAACATAAGATGATTTGTCAACAGAAAATTCTGTGAGAGAATCCAACATAAAAAAGAAGAAGGGAGTGAAAATGTTTAGACTAGCCCGTCGAAATCGATTAGATTTGTATATCGACATACCAAATCCCAACTGTTTAGACAAGTGTAAACATAAGATGATTTGTCAGCTGTTATTTGTCAAAAGACAATTGTGTGAGAGTAACTGAGAGTATACCATATATGAAATGACTTAAAAAAGGAGGTAGCAGTGACAGTGTTTATAATCACGGACTCAGATCCCATACAACATTTTTGGCTTCATTCATATCATAAGAAAAACCATATAACCAACGTTTTCTATTTAGACACATTTAATCATAGGATAACACATTTCTACATAAAAATCATTTTGAAAAAAAATTGGTTGTAATTTGATATTTTTGTTTCTAGGTGTCCCCAATACAAAAAAATACACCTTTGTTGTTTTTTTTTGATTTCCATTGTGAAAAAAATCCACCTTTAATTTTTTTTGGATTTTGCGAAATTTTGCATTTGAAAGTGGCTGCAATTTACTATTTCTTGTGGTCTATGGGTTGCAAAATATCCTTGAAAAACATAGTCAACATAGGTCTACTTCTTTTCTATGCTCTTTATATAAAGATCCCAAGATTATTCGCTTCGAATTTTGACCCGGTCGTACATAAGGTCTTTTTAACTAATTTTTTATATACTTATAAGTAAATCTAATAGTACGTTTTATACACATACTATTATTTTTATTAAATATATATATTTTTTTTGTAATCCAGTTTAATTTTTAAAATCTGGTCGCCTTAATTTAGAGCGAATCGAGATAATGGTAAATTGAGCTATAGTCTAAACGTGCCTTAATGTATGCCAAATGTCTTTGTTTTTATGGTCAGCTGATTTCTTGATCCCCTTTTCCACAGGCAAATTGTTATTTGGCAAATTTTTTGTTTCCTATTTTTAAAATTTTGCTTGCTTTTTAACTAGCAAATTTTTCTTTGTCAAACATCAAAATGTCAAAAGTGTTTACATTTTAAAGAATGTTTTAATATTTTATTTTTTTATATATTTTATTATATAAATTGCAAAAAATTAAAAATTAAATTTCAC